CACACACACACACACACACACACACACACACACACACACACACACACACACATGTTCCGTGAACTCTTGTCAACCCTGTCTGAGAAAGCAGTGAAATATTGATATTCTCTTTCATTTTGAAGTCCCAAAAAATATTACAAATGTCAGCAGTTTTTTAAAAATGTATTAAACTATTAATGTGTTGGGGTSTTGTGGATTGGTCCATTTATTTGTATAGAGCAGATTAAACAGCTGCACTGCTCTGCAGATGGACAACGACTTCATCTCAGTCAAACTGAGGTCACATCTCTGACTTCCTGTTTATTACAGAATCAAAGTCCTTCATGTTCATAAACCACTTAAAGGTTTGATTTCTGACTTGTTTAYTCTGCATCACTGAAGAGATTTACTGCATCAGGTCTTAAAGGTCTAGTTTAGACCTTCTGATACCAGATACCTGCTGACCCAAAGTCTGCCACAATGTGCTCATCAGTTTTCCTGTACAACACTTCAGGACCATCCGAAGTGTGTTGACGATAGAAAAGGTATTTGTTTAGTTTACATGTTATGAAATGTAAGATATCAGATTTCTGTTTCCTATCCAATAATATGAAAAGATTTCTTTGATACTTTGATGCTTCTCTAATTCATTCAGTTTGTAACACAAGGACAGACAGGCTGAAAGTAAAATAAAAAATTACATTTTCACTTATTTGCTGATTCTTTACACTCTAACAGACACAGACTATTAAACACCAGAACACATCATTTCTTAACTAATTATTCCTAACACTACTTGTGCAATGAAAAAATGYAATCATTAAAATCAAGTGGCATAGAAAAAACAATGTACATTTAAAATRTTTTTATTAAATGTGCTTATTTTATTAGTCTTTTTCAACCATGTTTCTTTCTTGGATAAAGTCAAACAGAGTCACAGTGCCCCCTGCTGGATGTTAGAGGTGATTACAGACTAAAACCACACTATTTTAAACYACAGCAGAACAGCCACAGTGCATGCACTATTCACCTTAAAAAACACAAACCTCTGCTTTTAGATTGTCTTTGACCCAACACGTCAGGATTTTTTTCCCCCCAATCCTACTCATCTTGAATAAAAACCATGACTCCTTCACCCCCCAGGAGGACTTTATGTTTACAAATTGTGAAACAGTCAGCACAGCAACCACCAGAGTACTGGTTCTGTTTGGAGAAACTACAACCCCATCGAATCCTGATCACAGTCACAAGTGGATGCAGGAAAAATCTGCTTTTACCAGTTTATTTTAATAAATATTCACTGACTGGTTTTTGGTTTCTGGCTTCTCATGGGTGCACAGAGGACTGGACCTCTCGGAAATGAACTTTTAGTTCCTCCTTGGGAGGTGAACATCTTTCACGCATCTTAAAGTTCCTCTTCTGAGCCCCTTGTGGTTATATGACCTGTAKTATTTTCTGCAAAGTGAATAATTACCTTCTAGCTCTGGTTCATGGTGACTGCTTTAGGTCTTTGCTCAAGAGGTTGAGTGATTTTGTTCACCCAACATTCAAATCTTATGCCTACAGAGCAAAGCATGGCTCTAAATAATAAAACCCTGAAGGACCTTTAAATGTCTTCACTTTGCATTTGATGACTGCAGAAGTTTTAATTGATTTATTCTGAACACAAAGTCAGTCTGCAGTTTGCTACCAATAATGGTTTATGCAGAACTTGCTTTGCAGAATGAAATATGGCATTTATAACCATGTAGAGTAATGATCTTTAGTGTCTGATAGTTACTCTGGTCAGGTTTACCACACATTTAAAGTGTTATAAAATGTATGATTTAAAATGACAAACAACTGATTGATTGATTTATTGATTTATACAACCCCTGGCAAAAAGTATGGAATCACTCAATTCTGAGGACAAAAGTATGGAATATATAAAAACATTATAAAATGTTTTAAAAGCCAAAGGTGGTGCAACTAAATACTAGTTGTGTATTTTGAATGGTCTTTTGTTTATCTGTTTTTCATGATTCCATACTTTTTTCCTCTAATTTGAGTGATTCCATATTTTTTCCTCTGCTTGGTCAATAACAGTAACATTCACTGACTTCCACAATGTTTTCTCTTCATTTCTTTGAGTGTTCCTGAAAGTCAACAAGTTGCACTTTGGAACRACCTTATTGTTGTATCATGTTTTTGATCTGAGTTTGTTTTACAGAATGAAATGTCTGAATGAGTGCTCATCCAAGACTGGTGATTCCATACTTTTTGCCAGGGGTTGTACAGAGCTTTACAACAACCAAATAATTTGACAAAAGAATGTAACATTTAAAAGTACATCTCAAGTTTAGACATAAAGTAAACCAGGTCAGAGGTGTAGTGAAGGTCTAGAGGGAGTTTGTTCCAGAGTTGGGATATTACCACAGAAAAGGCCTCTTTGTCTTTGGGACATCTAATAAAACTTGATTTGATGACCTCAGGGGTTTCCCATGTGCAAGAAGACTAAAAGTATCAGATAAAAAAGTGGGGCAGAGCCATTAAGAGCTTTAAAAACAAATAGTAAAAATTTAAAATCAATTCTAATATGGACAGGAAGCCAATGTAAGGAGGACTAAACAGGGGTGATATGCACACATCTAGAGGTAAAAAAGACAGGCAGAATGAGTTTTAATTTAATACTGTCTTGAAAATATTTTCAAGACAACTAGAAAAAAATCTTAAAATTATAAAAAATAAGTAAAAGAAAAAAAAACCTGCACATTATTTTACTATAATAACCTTTTCACAATCTGAACAGTTCTTTATTAGTTGTTTTTCATCTTTCTGTTCTGTTTTCCATGCTTAGACTGAGGGTCCAAACTGCTGATTTCATAAACAAAGTAAAGAGACACTTTAGACAAGCCAGCAGCACAATGTAAGCAACATGACAGTCGGAGCGTCATCTACGTACCTTAGTCAAGGTTGCAGCTCAGCCCCAATCAATGATCTGTTTGCAGACCTCTGTGGAGCAATGTTTTTTTTTTTTTTTTTTTTGTGGTTCTGTCTGGCTTTGAAACCGGGTGAAAGGGGAAAGAGACAAATTAAAAAAAAAAGATAAATGGAGAAAGTACAAGGTAATAAGTGAAATGTTCACTGCTGGTGAATGGTAGATTTAAACATTTAAAATCATGTTTTGCTGATTAAAAATGTTACCAGGATGAGTTTCTTCCACCTGAACAACATTATTGCAATTAGAAACATCTTGTCAGAAAAACTGATCTGTGTATTTATCACAACTAGGTTGTACTATTGTAATTCTTTTATGTCTGGGTGTCCAA